CTGCAGAATATGAAGCCCCAAGTGCAGGCCCTTCTGAGTACCTGTGTGACTGCACTGGCCACATGGCCATGAAATTGGCCCCTCTGATGCCTAGGTCCTGCCTCTCTATTACATAATTGTGTTAGCTTATTGTACATCAGAGTTTTTATTCTCTCAGTGATTCTTCAGTAGTGGTTGAGAACCACTACCCTAGACAATATCATGCATATGTGTATCACTTATGTATCATGTGTGTGGGTTTCAGTATATGATGGTTACTTCTGAAGTGGGGGGAGAAAAAGATGTAAAATGACGGGGCACTTAACAAATAAAAAAACAAAGGCAATGTTCTGTATCTTAAACTGAATGGTAGATACCATTATTCTTCATAGTTTTTTTATATTAAATATTTTCTTTGGTAAATCATGTAAAATATATTTTTAAATGTCAACGGAAAGTATCTAATTGAGGAAGAATGGTGGGCTATTCAAGAAGCAGTGAAAAAAATTTCCCCTTTACATAGCCCAGAAAACACATGCAGGGTCAGAATATGAGCCCAAGGCTATACCAGGTCATCACTTTGCTGTAAGGGACCATAGATTCAGGATCATTGTAAGAGACATGCAGGTCAGTGAGTTGTCACATATATCAGTACAGACATCTGATGTAGGCTACAAAAGTGACATTACTGGTACTCAAAGAAGAAGATATTTTAGGCAAGGCATATGACTAAGTAAAAATTTTTTTTCATTGTTACTACTGCTTCAATATATTTAAAATGAAAATTAAAACAATACTTTTTTTTACTAAGAATATAATTGAAACAAACGTTTTTCTAGTTTCTACCAAATTTAAAAATGCAAAAATCCTGTGGTCTAGTAATCTCACTGTTCAACACTGTTCAAAACCTATTCTATTGAAATGCCAGCTAAAATTGTCTATATTGATAAACAATCATATTCTATTCATAGAGTAATGGTATGTATGTATGTATGTATATACATATATACACACAAATACTATAGAATACTATGCAAACTTTACAAAGAATTAAGCCATCACATATGTATATACTTGCAAATGTGTCTATCACATATTTTTAAGTTAAGAAGCAAGCTCTAATGCAGAATGTATAGTATTATTACATTAAAAATATGTGTGTATGTGTGTGTCAGGATGAGGAAGGCTCCTATTTGGATGGATACAAGGTATTCAAGCTTTATATGTATTTAAAAGGTTCAAAGTAAAAAAAAGGGGGGGTTGAAAGAATGTACATCAAGCTTTTGAACGTTGACTTTCTAGAGAATGGAACAGGGGGGAGATTTATTTTTATTTCTGTACTCCTTTAAATTAAGTCTCAGCTTATATTTATCATACATGTATTGCTATGCCTTCCATTCTCTGTAGGATTTAATAAGTAGGTAGTCTCTTTTCATTTTTAAAAATAATTCCTCAAAAAAAGGAACTGAATCTTTATGGGCAGAGTGGGGATATTCCCAAATTTCTTTTAGAGTTGGCAAGAAAAAAGACAATTTAAGTAATGTGACAAGAGCACGTTCCTGTCAGTGACCGAATCCCTCAGTGTAGCCGAGCTACACAATAGTCATCCTTTAACTTTTCTATCTCTGTGGTCCTCTCTGTACTAACCAATGTGCCTCTGTTCCATTTCTTTCATCTTTCTATCAGCTCTACCTGCCACAGACTTGCTCTGTGCTCAAGACCTCAGGAGGAAGTCAGTCTGTGCGGATCCAGCGGTTAATGGTTAAGGGGAAGTTGGTGGCTGAATACATACACTTTGTTCAGGATGCTCCTTTGCCTAAGTCTGGTCCTGCAGGGGAGGTGGGCTCTCTGGCACATTTTCCAAGCTTAATTCTGTGACCAGAACTAAGAGGTTCTGCCTGCGAGGGCTTTGTGGCACACTGAAGGGACACAGCTTGCTGTCTACCTTTTCACAGACAGGAGGACACAGGAGGCTGCCAGTTAGGATCCCGAGTCTACTGCACTCTGGGTATAGAACCCTGAGCAAGACATTTAATCTCATAGCTTCCTTTATCTTGTGTGTGAAACGAAGAAAATAAGAGCTTCTAGCTCACGAAATTATTAGGATTAAGTAAAAAAAAAATGTGACCAGAATTAAGCACTCGATAAACTTTATAATTATAATATTAAAAGATGGACTTGGTCACATTCATGTAGATTACTTCCAGCTGAATTCAGGCTCCAAGCAAGTATTCTTCAAACTTCAGAGAGAAACACATTAGTGAGTTATAAAATCCATTTAGTGGGTAGTAGTCAACATTGAAAATAATTAATGGAATAGAAAAACAATAATCAAAAACACACACACAGAAGACATTGCATATAAAAAGCTAATGGAAAATTCATTGCTTACTGTGGTCTCAGGTTAAGTGAGTTTGAAAAACAATGCTTTAAGCCAAACAAATGTGCAAAACAGAAACTCTTCCCCAATTGTCTTCTCAACTCTACTCATTTCTGCCTCTTTCAAGTAAAGTGAGCAAAAGCTCGAGGCTTTGGAAACATGCTGTAGTGATAGATCTTTTTGATAATGCAGGAGCATGCTGGGGTGATGTGAGAAATCAGGAGGTGATGGTGAGAGAGCCAGTTCATTCAAACATGTGCTGTTGCTACTTCCCAAGCATATGGGGCAGGGATAAAGACGTTTAGAACTAGCCAGGCCTCAGGATTTGGTTCTTGTTTTTGTTTGAAACTTTTCCTCTTAATTCAAGTATGGAGACTGTGACGGAAGGCCTGCAAGGTTCTTTTAAGTCTATAAACCTGTCACTTAAAATTCCTGCTTTTAGTAGGTAATGTTTGAGGAGCAAAGCTCATAAAGTTTAGTGAGTGAAGAAAGTGAAGTAGTTTTAGATTTTTTTCATTGTTACTACTACTTCAATGTTGATGGATTTTTAAATTCTATTTCTACTGTTGCTCTAAAAATAATTTTTGCTCTGTACAGGTTATAGTAGCTAAACACATGGAAGTAAAATATGACAATCATTAAAAATACATGGAAGGAAACCAGGCTTAGAACTAGAATTAGGTTGCTGGACTGACATTTTGAGGGAACTTATGCCCAGGAATAGAGTTATCTCTAACCTGTAGAACCTACCTTTTTTTCCTGACTATCATTTAATATGGAGAAACCAAGTAAAAATAACCATGATAATGTAACTATATATTATCAGTCTCAATTATTTTACTTGCTATTTCCTTCTGTAATGTTATGAGCCATTCATTATAAATACATTTACTTCCAACAGAATTAGCCACCTAATATTAATCAAAGAGCATGATTAGTTAGAAACTAAGATTCAACATATACCATGATGCATTTTCCTCTTTGTATCATGTTTCAATTGAAATATGTCTCTAGTAATAATTATAAAAATTGTAGAAATTCCACAGAGGACTCTATTGGAATCAAAACCATACACTGAATTGTATGTCTATTACCTAATACACAACAAATCATAATTGTAATCACATTAGTATCTGTAAAGAAATATAGAAAAATTTAAAATGTGTGTGTGTACCTGTATATAGTTAACCATGTCAATGTATAGGTACAGATAATGATACATATGTGGTTGTTTCTCTCAAATATTTTTCATAAATATAAAAGTTTGGTTTGCCATGAAACATCTGTTATTTCCTCCCATGAATGCTGTTTGCAGGTTTGGTGGTTTCAACTAGAGGCCTAGAGGTTTTAGGGGTGTTTTGAAATTTGGATGGTTGCATGGACTAACCCTGAATATGGACAGTGGAGAGGCCTTGAATTAGTATATGATCATTTCCTGCGGTTCTTTCTATAAGACTCATAGACAAATCCCTCTCAACCACTTGCTTACTTTAAGATGCTGGGAAAATTATTTAAATTCCTAAATATCAGTTTTCTTCTTTCCAAAATTGAATAAATAATAACTTTAGAAAATATGTTTTCCATCTCATCATTACAGCCAGGTCAACAGACATATTAAAACCAAGGGGAGCCTGGCTGGTATTGCTCAGTGGTTGAGCATCGACCTATGAACTAGGAGGTCACGGGGTGATTCCCATTCAGGACACATGCCTGGGTTGCAGCTCAGTCTCCAGTGTAATTTTCTCTCACCATTGATGATTCTCTCTCTCTCTCTCTCTCTCTCTCTCTCTCTCTCTCTCTCTCTCCCCTCCTCTCTAAAATCAATAAAAATATATAAATAAATAAAATAAAAACAAGGGGAGACAAAACAAATCCAAGAGTCAGTATGTTTTACATAGTTTGGCAACCAGAAAGTAGATTAAAAAACTAATGGTCCCCTAATGAATCCAACCTTGATATATACATCCTTGTAAAGCCTCCTCTCATAGTGACGCTGAACTTGGCCATGTGACTTGCTTATCCAATGAGACATGAGCAAATGTGAAAGAAGTAAAGGCTTGATAAGTTCTTGCCCATTAGGGCTTAGCTGCTGGGAATGCTATCTTCACTGTCAGAATCCCAGGATCTACTGCTGAAGAGGTCCCAGGGAGAAGAGCCATGCCAAAGATGCTTGCTAAATACCATCTTGCATTGCCCAGCCTCAGTTGAGCCACCGGATGACCATAGTTATATGAGTGACCCTAGATCATCAGAAGAACCATCCAACTGAGCCAAGCCCAGTGTGCAGAATTGTGAGTAAATATATGGTTATTTCTAGTCCCTACATTTTGGGGTGGTTTGCTACTCACAATAAATACCTAATACATTCAGCTATCTGGTAGGATAACTATTTTATGCAGTTAATATTGAAATCAATAAATAATATCTAGGAATGACCAATCATGTAAGTTAAAAACAAATAACACATGTAGACAAATGAGTAAAACTTCCAAATGCACAAAGCATAATCAGAAAATAGATTTTAAAAAATGGAATAGCAGACTAAGTTGTCTTTGTGAACAGATTTTCTGTGCTGGATTACTACTTTGTGCTGTTCAAGAAATATATATTATATGTAATTCACTGAATATGTATAACTTACTGAAACATGATCTTCTGTGAAGCATATGCTGGAAAATCTTGCACAGAGATTCTTCACTTTGTGACATGGTCCTACAGGTGCACTGCACTTGAAGCACCGTCCCAAGGGTGCCCATGTAAGCTGCTTTGCAGTCATCGCTTCCTGAGCAAGTGAGGTCCTGCTTGCCCAAGGTACTGATGCAAGCCTCATCTTCGTGGCACTTTCTAGTCACAGGCTGCCAGCATTTTGACTGAAATGTCCTGTAGCGCCTCCTATAAAGAGTCAAGAAATGGACTTCATCTCTGAATAATATTCTTTCACATTAGCATGCGGTGCTTCCTCAGCTAATGAAAGACTGACATAAAACACAATGCCTCCTGGATGCCAGTACATGGCTGAAAACTAAGTTTGTACATTTAAACATCCCCATAGAGAGTGTGGAAGAAAAAGTGGAGAAACCTTGTGAATTTCCTCGCGTGATGAAAGACAGAGGCTGAGTTTACGATTCCCTGGATGAATTTTCCTTCATTACTAATTTTCTTTCAATGGCTGATGATTTGCAGTCTGAACTACATGGGAGATTTATTAGCAGTGTTTTTTGAAGCAGAATGTGGTTTTGGTTGACTAGCAGTTGGCCACTGTTTCACACCAAGTGGTTTTAGATAAGGCTCTTCACCTTTCCAGCCTGTTTTCCCACAGGATGGGAGGTAATATATTCTTTCTTAACATTTCTAAGCAGACCAATTAGAATTTTTAAAATGCTTTGAGCTTCTCTGGCTGCAAAAGCTAATTTAAAGCAAAAAATTTATGAGTTTATTTAATTGCCAACATAATCCATTAGAACCACATCCATTCATAACTTTCCTGACCATGCATTCGTGCTGTACTAGCAGTGAATAAAAATCTCACTAATGTACAATAATTTCATATTTGAAATTTTCACAGTAACAGGATATTCCTCTCAGTGGAACCAAGGATATTAATCTTCCTACTTAATATTTATCACCTAAAATTACTTTTTACCCTTTATTGAATAGGTCACCATTAAATCTCCATGAAAACCCTCTGAATACATACTTGTCATGAGCTTATTTGTCCACATGGTCCTACTCTGCTAAAACCATAAGCCACATTATTTTCAATAATCTCATATTTTAAGTCATCTTAAAAGAATCAGCTTTTCAATACATTGGCAAAATTAATTTATACACAAATAAATACAATAGAAAGTTTGAGTATATAATTTTGATGCCAGAAGAACAAATATATTCCTTTAATGCAATTATGGGTTATTCATAAGATGTTATCTAAATGTAAGTATTGCCCTGGCTGGTTTGGCTCAGTGGATAGAGTGTTGGCCTGCGGACTGAAGGGTCCCAGGTTTGATTCCAGTCAAGGGCACATCCCCGGGTTGCGGGCTTGATCCCCAGTAGGGTGCGTGCAGGAGGCAGCCAATCAATGGTTCTCTTTCATCATTGATGTTTCTATCTCTCTCTCTCACTCTCCTTTCCTCTCTGAAATCAATAAAAATATATTTTTAAAAATTTGTTTAAAAAGTTGTTATTTTTTCTAAGCAAATTCCTTTTTCCCTACTATTTTATTGAGTTCATAAATACAAATCTGTAATGCATTATAATTTTCTGTATGTTCCCAAATGTATATAATTGGCAAAACATAATCTCAACTCCCAGTATATATTTGTGTTGGACAAAATTAATTGAAAAATAGTCTTTATATTGACTCCTTTGGCTCATTTAAATAAATAAAGGAGTTTCAAATCTTTTATGTATTGAAGAATCTGGAACAAGGACAGAAGTACTATTTTCAAACCCAAGTGCTCTCCTTTGCCCCATATACAGCCTCTTCAGCCAATGAAGGAAGTGATAAAGGGCTAATATCTTCACTGAAGAAATAGTTTATCTCTTGGAGATTTTTTCCATCTGAATTACATTAACACAAATTTAATATAAATGCTAGAAATCTCTCTAAGGCAAAATTTGCTTGAGAAAATGACAAGATTTGTCTTTTCACCTTGACTACTAATATTGTGTAATATTTCCATCACTTCTATAAAGTATTCATTAAGGGATTATTCCACATGGTGAAAAGACATTGATAACACACAGCCTTACTCTAAACTAATCTATGAAAGATAGAAATTACATAAAAGGAGACATGCATATCAATAAATTATAAAAATAAAGTGCAAGATATTAAAAAATAGAGGAAAACATATGACAACTTCTGTGTCTTTTGTGTCCTGGACCCTGAACCAAGCACTTTGGAGAGGTGGTGAAACCCAGGATTATTTGTGGAGGAAATTTCACAAAAAATGTGCCAGTCAATCTGATGCCAAGGTGAGTTTATTTCAACAGTGTGTGCCTCAGAATCCATCACGGGACTTCTCAAGGACTATAACAGCAGACCCCATCACTTGCCATTAAAATATTTAATTTGATAGGGAAACTTAGATATATCATTCTTTGAAGGTTGAATGCAAGTATTTTAGGATAATGAGGTAGCATATCTAGAGCCCTTGCAGTGGTATCAGGTAAAACTGGGTGCCCATCCATGCAGACATCTGGTACTCTTATAGGGATTGATTAAAACATGATAATAACATATCCCCTGGCTGCTTAAAATGTTATTAGGTTTCATCCACTGAGCCAAACCAGTCAGGGCTAAAATATTTAATTTGATAGGGAAGCTTAGATATATCATTCTTTGAAGGTTGAATGCAAGTATTTTAGGATAATGAGGTAGCATATCTAGAGCCCTTGCAGTGGTATCAGGTAAAACTGGGTGCCCATCCATGCAGACATCTGGTACTCTTATAGGGATTGATTAAAACATGATAATAACATATCCCCTGGCTGCTTAAAATGTTATTAGGTTTCATTTTTAGTGTACATGGATGACAGATAATTGATAGATAGATGGTAATATTCTATTTGTAAAATATGAGAAACATAGTATAATCAAACATTTTAATCATATTTCATTGAATGGAGGAGATATCATTGTTTTATTATAACTGAAATCACTTGTTGGCAATTAAATTCTTGTTATAACTTAATAAATGTTTTCTGGTCATTGAGCTTAAGACTCATCCCAAAAGGTTAAGGATATGAAAATGCATAAAAAATTTACATCATCTTAGCTGGTTTGGCTCCGTGGATAGAGCATCGGCCTGTGGACTGAAAGGTCCCAGGCAAGGGCACATGCCTGGGTTGCAGGCTTGATCCCCAGTGGAGGGCATGCAGGAGGCAGCCAATCAATGATTCTCTCTCATCATTGATGTTTCTATCTCTCGCTCACTCTCCCTTCCTCTCTGAAATAAATAAAGAAATATATTTTTAAAAAATTTACATCTTAGAATCAATAAAATACAATATGTTACTAAAAAAGAATTTGGGAGATATAAATGAATTTGAAAGATCTAAATTGCATTATAAAATATTTTTATCATTAATATTATTTGTAACCCAAGAGAAGTTATTAATATACCTTAAAATAACTGATAAAACAATTACATGACAAAATTCTTAAATAAAATTTTCTGAAGAACTTTGGCATTCTATACAAGTTGAAGCAAAAAATATGTGAATGTCCTAGCATTCTGTTTAGATCTTTACCCTTTATCTTACTGAATGTGTATTATAGGGAAGCAGTTGTCTTTTTTGACAAATGTTTACAAGATCTGGAGCTACTTTTTCAAGTTAGAATGACTGAGAGAAAAGGAATTAAGATAGTTGACAGTTATCGTTTGACAAGGCCAAAAGAAAACAGTTTACCAAGAACCAAGCCCTTGAGAAAGTTATCATTAAATCTTTTAGTTCATTTGCCAGTGGTTGAAGCAAGGTGACAAATGGGATAGATCTTGCTCTGAGCTAATCCTCCATACTAAATATTTATCTTGACATTTAAACGAGTTTGCTATATATGAAGTTTTATCCATTTGAATAAAATTAATTATAATAGCCCCTGATAAATGCCCCAGGCAAACAAAGTAATATAAAGTCTTACTCAAAAGAGAAGCAAAAGTAGAATTCAAAAATTATATAGTTTAGTGCTGGTTGTTGCAAACTATTTGTTTTGACCCATCAAATTTATTTAGTATTTTCATATTTCCCTCCATCTTCTTACTCTTGTCTAAAGAGGCCAATTTGACTTTTGATTTTTAACCACACAAAAGATAAAATTCATCTTGAATATACAAGGAAATGTGTTAATGACTATAGTAAGGAAAATAAATAGTCACGGTGTTGGATTAGAGTTGTGGTTCCCAGGAGCAGTTATCTGTAAAAGTATAATCTAGTCTCAACTAATAGCAAGAGTTGAAGTTTTAACAAGTGAGCCAGATCATTCATACCTCCATTCAAAATCCTCCAGTACTTCTCCATTTGACTTGTTGTAAAAACCCAAGTTGCTGTATCCCTCCAGGCCCTATGTGATCTAACCCCACTTCCTCTGCAGTTAAAGCTCTAACCATTTCTCCATTGCTCTCCCCCTGAACTCTCTGCCCTCATTACCTTTGTAACAGGCCACACACATTTCTTTCTCAGCACTGGCTGGTCTGTTTAGTATCTCTTCTTCGGTTATTTACTGAGAGAGGCTCATTACCTCCGTCACTTTTTCTCTGGTAAATGCTCTCTCCTGGGACCACCCCATTTACGTTGCTACTCTTTCCATCCATACAGAACCCCTCTTATTTTGTTGTGATGCTGTTGTTAATATCCAGAGCACTCATTATCTTACAATATAATATACATTTTTCTTGTGCATTATCTGTCTCCCCCACTAGAATATAAACTCCACAAGGCAGGCATTTTTGTCTCTTGTACACTGATGCCAAGGTGCTTGACATGACTTGTTTGAATAGACAAATAAATGACTAACATTATCCCCTTTAGACTCAAAGGTATAAAGTTGGGAAGAGAATAGGTGTTTCTGACATCGTGGCATGGATATGTGCTGGGGATATAGCTACTTCTCCTCTCTGATCTTCAGACTAAGACAGAAAGGATTTATTTTGAAGTTTGATGAGTCAGTTTGTCAAAATTGTATGACATTTAACAGCCCTCTATGATTATGCCAAAAAGAAAATTAAAAACTGACATACAAGATAGGTTCATTATCCATTAGTCTAATTTGAATATATAATTTCAATAATGCTATTTCATGGCGATCAAAACCTGACTTAAATTGATTTTTTTTATTCCAAACATGTTCCACATTTGAATTTCAAAGAGGATACTACACATGTACTACAGATTCAGAAATATGAATTGTCTGGCTTTGTTTACATCATGTTGGGTAATGGTGGGAACTCTAGCTAATGTAATGAGATCAAGTGTTAGGACTGGACTGTAACAAATAAGGTGCCGAAATAAGAAAGTAAGGTATGCGTGTTTTTACTCACCTGCATAATTCATCATTTCGGCAGCTGCGAATTACATTGAGGCAAGTAGGGGGTGGAACTATGTTCACTGCACATGGCTTGCTGTGAAGAGCTTCTTTGGACTGCTGACAAGGTATATCAGATGGAGCACAGTCACAGAAAGCCAACATCTGGGCAATATTAAAAGGCATATTTTGATAGAAGAACCGTATGGCTGCTTGGCAGTGTTTCACATCACACAGATTTCCATTTGCTGAGCAAGCTTTAAGGTACAGGGCCAACTGTGCATTACAGACCGCATCCCCTACACACATCTCTGCCACTTCCAAACAGGACCGGATCCCTTTCGTTCCTGAAAGCAATGACATACCCAAGTCAGGTCGCGAAAATGTAAACATCAAGCTGTCTTTACAGAATCTGCAAAACACTGTGAGACGTCTAGGAGCAAAATACAACTTTGTACCAATGTTCTACTTTGAATGTAAGTTTTTTTGTTGTTGTTTTTTTTTTTAATATATTTTATTTTCCCACAGAGAGGAAGGGAGAGAGATAGAGAGTCAGAAACATCGATGAGAGAGAAACATTGATCAGCCGCCTCCTGCACATCTCCTACCGGGGATGTGCCCGCAACCCAGGCACATGCCCTTGACCGCTGTCTTTACAGAATCTGCAAAACACTGTGAGACGTCTAGGAGCAAAATACAACTTTGTACCAATGTTCTACTTTGAGCAAACATTTCATTTCTTTATAGAGGTCATCTGAATTTACTGAGACCTGAGTAGTGGACTGTTTGAATCATCTTTCATCTCCACTGGATACGTATTGTGATCCAGAAGAGATGGGGAGTGTGTAGGGCCAAGACTGAGCTGAAGGAAAAACCCTTGAGTCCAAGTTTCTCGAATGTAAACAATAAATCAGAAATTTCATTTGAGCTGTATAGCTTATGATGAATTCATTGGCTCAAGTGAAAATGATTCTTATTCTGTCACACTTTTTATTCTGGAGGGAAATCTTGACTAAGGCTCCACGTAGTTATCCCAACATATAAAGATGCTCACATTCTAGAAAACACAGGAACATGTAAACTCTCGCTCCAAACACAAACGAACATACACATAAATGGTTGGCCTAAAACAATTTAATGTAGGTGATAAAAATATCCATAAAATGTAACCAAGATCTAGTCTTTGGTTTTAATTGTAAAATATTCCTCAGCATAACCGGAAATAGGTGATAAATAGGCAAAGCAGTTGCTTTGATACATTAGTGTAAGAAATGCAATGATTTTGAGAATTTTGTAATATTTAAACTATCAAAGAGCAGCACCATTTATTTTGTATTGAAATATCTTTAAGGAGCCTTGTAACTACTTTTTAAATTATATTGTCCTGATTTTAGAATGCTAATCAAAATTACAAATTATAAACATTACCATGATAGAAAAGAGTGGTTAGATTCTACTCGAATTTATTACCCTCTTTCATGTTATCTAGAAGGAAAACAAAGACTTTTATTCGTGAACAATTTTCTAAATTTAATAGGAAGATGTGGGCTACATTTATGAGTAATTAAACAAAAATACATGCAAGCTCATGTAACACTTGCTTAACCCTTAATACTCAAAATTAGTGAGGAACAGATGAAGAAAAATAAACCCCAGAAATATAATTCAAGTGAGTTAAACAGCTCTGCTGTGAGGATTCAGTTACTTGAAGGTTTAAACAAATGCTAACGACTAGGCCATGTGCACTGAAGTAAACAAAGAATCTGTCTGGGGAGAAAAAACAGAGGGAATATTGTCTGAACAAAAAAAAAAAACAAAACTTCTTCCCAGTAGGGTCTTAATTAGATTGAAATGCAATTTGAAGACTATTTCCACCTCTCATTATTTTAGTTTCATAGAGTTCTTAGGAATTAAAATTATAGAATCGGAGGATCTTATTGATGGAAATAAACTGAGTAGCCTTTAATTCTAAAATCTTCAAGAAGCATTGGTTGGGTTCCTACGATGTATCAGGTGCCACATCAAAGACACACTTCTGCAGTCCCTGTCCCAGGCCTCCCCAGCCTGGGAGGAAACACAGACATATAAACACAAAATGACAAAAAAACAAAGTGACAGGGAAATAGTATGATTTGATTTTTATATAAAATAAAAGTTCAATTTTCCCATTGGTTGCTGATATATTGACTTCTGTTATGGCATAAATGTCATTTCATGATGCTGTTTTGTCCCTACTTGAGTTGTCTGTCCAAACTTTCTGCCTGCCCATCTATTGCATATACATGATGGTATAGTCACGAGAAAATTTTTACCCCCATGTGTCACAGCCTTTCCAGATTCCTTGTTTTACTCTGTCTGTTCTCACTACACAGTTTTTCATTTTTCCACTGATTAAGTTGAAGCTTGAGGACCACTGAGCTGAGACTTAATCTCTTCTAGACTCCACTCTCCTGTGTCTCCGAGGAAGCCTGGAATGTTTCTTCTTCTCTGCTAGCATCCCATATTGAATAAATCCCGAAAAGCAAACCTCAGAGAGTCATAGAGCTTTTGTAAAGACACAAAAGCCTAGACAAATCCTTCTATTATAGATTAATACATCTGCTTTGGAATTTATTGCCACTGACTAAAACATACTCAGGAAACTATCATTGAAACATAAGTAAATATTGAATTTACTGACTGTTATGGACTGAATGTCTGTGGCCCTCCAAATGTCATGTGTTGAAGTCCTAACACCTAGTGTGGCTGCCTTTGGAGATGATATCGCTAAGGAAGTAATTAAGTAAAATTCCCTTTTCCCCATCCATGCACACACAACATGCGATTTCATATTAGGACATAACAAGAAACCAGGAAGTTTATAAGTCGGCAAGAAAGCTCTCACCAGAAACCAACCCTGATGGACCTTGATCAGAAACTTTCAGCCTTCAGAACTTTGAGAAAATAAATTTTTGTTGTTTAAGCCACCAGCCGATGGTATTTTGTTATGGCAACCCTAGCAGAGTAACATATTCACTATATGTATAATTATTACAAATACAGCAGAACAGTTATTTTAGCATGGGGAAATAAATCTATCTTGGATGTATACAATTTTATATGCTATGAGGAATATATTATGTAAATTATCAGTACATTAAATTCTAATTTCATATGATACATACACATTTTTCCCCAGAGGACATTTTAAACTCTAGCTTAATTACTGCAGAGGAGCTGAAGGTCAATATGAAATAGGAAAATGTGGGCTACATGGAAATAAATAGAATCATGAAACAGCTAGGTTAAATCAGTTACAAGATCATATATATAAAAAATACACACAGTTTTTTCTTATTGATCCACTAACAGTAAAATATATCCAGAATTAGATATCTTCTCACTCTGGTTTAAGACACCAAGCATTTTTTCGATTGACCTCATCTAGTCCTATGGTCTTATTATCTGTAAGTAAATGACCCTCCAATTCATATGTACTGAATAGATCTCACTTCTTATATCATGCATAGAATTTAGATATCAATTCTATATATAAAACTGCCTATTCATATCTTCACTTGAATACCTAATAAACATTTCACACTTAACACATCCAAAACTCACTTCTCACCTTTCCTCTGCTCCCCACCGAAGACTCTTTTTCCTGTAGTTAAAAAATTAATGGTGACCACGTCCTTCTAATTACTCAGCACAAAAACTTTGGGGTCAACTTTAATCCGTTTTTCCCCCTTGCATTCCCACATGACTCACTACTATCAAAACATATTCAGAATCTGACAAGTTCCTACATGAATCCATCATCTTTTTTTCCCTGCATCATTATAAAAGCTCTTACATGGTCTTCCCACTTGGGCCTTTCCTTCTCTTCAGTGAGTTGTCAACATAAAAAATAAAATAAAATAAAGAGGATTATTCTGCTAAGGATATAAATCAGACCCTGTCACTCCCTTGATCAAAATCCTTCAGTGGTTTTCTATATCACTTAGAGTAGAGCCAACCATTTTGAAATGACCTAAAATGCCCTTCATGATCTTGTCCCCTGTTTTTATATCAGATCTCATCTCCTACACCTTTTGCGCTTGTTCTCTCAGCTCTAGCTCATGTTCTCTTTGCTTTTCTTCAAATCTCCAGGCATAATGAAACCAAGGTTCAACTTCCTGACACCACAAAAGCCAAATTTGTGAAGACAGATGTTGGTTAAAAAGGAAAGAGATTTATTCAAGTACTTGCATCTCAAGAAGATGAGGAACTCTTGTCCAAAGCCCATCTCAACATCTCATTGTAGGCAAGGTTTTTATAAGGAGGGAGAGGCAAAGCAGAACAAAGAAATAAACAAAAAGTTCTCCATGTAAAGGCCATCACAGTCCATTCTGATAAGTACCTCAAAACCTTTCAAGTGATGGTCTGGTGTGCATCATCCTGGTCTTTGTCATTTTGGTTCTATGGTTAAAGGTCAGCAAATCTCCTGGAACTAGGATGACTAAAGGTCAGGGTCTATAGATTCTGAAGTAAGTTCCTAGGACTTTTTTATACAAACATATAAGCTACATATTTGACAGAGTCAGCATTTACAGAAACAATGTCAAAAGAATGGTGGGGTGGGTTACAATTTCCCACTGTTACAATATTTCCAGCTCAGGACCTTTAACTAGCTCTTTCTTCTGCCTTAAATGCCCTTTCCCAAGATATCCACAGGACTCAGTCCCTTGCCACTTCCAATCTTTACTCAAACATTTGCTTTTTTTTCACAACAACTTTCTGGCCATTCTATAAAAAATACAAACCACTTACTCAGACCAGTTTATTTCTTCTACCTGTATTAGTTTTCTCTTTAACACTTATAGTGTTTGAAATATATATCTCAAGCCTGGCTGGCGTGGCTCAGTGGTTGAGCATCAACCTATGAACCAGGAGGTCATGGTTCAATTCCTGGGGTCAGAGCACATGCCAGGTTGCAGGCTCAATCCCCAGTGTGGGGCATGCAGGAAGCAGCTAATTGATGATTCTCTCTCATCATTGATGTTTCTATCTCTCTCCCTCTCCCTTCCTCTCTGAAAACAAAAAATAAATAAATAAAATGTGTGTATATATATATATTAAAGTCATTTATCTTGTTAATTTCCTCTTTGTTCCCATACCGGATGGTGTGGATCACTACTTAGATCTCCTCTTTGATGATCCAGGTACAAGTTTCCCCAGCTGCTGGGAGTATTTTGGGTGCTGGGTCACAATAGTCCTTTTCCTGACATTGCCCTGGTCTAAAGAAAGCTGCCACACCCAAGGTTACAACTTACTCAGATTACAGCTCATATCTCAGGACTAGTCCATTTGATGGGTTCAAGGATCAGGGATAAGGAGGCTCCCTTGCCTCAATGGGTATGATATCTCTGAAAAGCTATTCCAGACCCATGTTTCTTGTGGAATCAACTAAATTGTCTATGGCCATTGTGTTGCATTTCAACTTCTTCCTCTACCTAATCCTGTTTTCCTCTCTTCATTATTGCTTTTGTTACTGGGCTCGAAGCCCATTATCTGTGTGCAAACCTCTGTATCAGAGTCTGATTCTAGGGATTTTTGTTTTGTTTGCTGTTGTATCCCATCTTAGAATAATTTCCTAGGAGAAACACAGGCAGAAATGACAGAGCTGGAATCAGAAATTAAATATTCTTTAGCTCACTCATATTTGTGATTTTACTTAATGTTTCTAAATTCTTTTGAATACCAACCGGAAACAGTGGCCTGGCTGAATCCATCTTCATCGTCTTCACTGGAGGCTGGAACTTGATTAATTTGAGCATCCTGCATACATTTGTCTTCAAACAAACTCTTCCAAATTTCAATGCACTCTACTCTTGAAGGGTCATTACATTGACAAGTCCATAAGATTGTTTCTTTCAGGCTTTCTGTTAATGCTGCACACAGGTGGCTTCCATCAAGGGTCTTACATTGTTCTGATTCCCTCCCACAGATTTTCTTAAAATTCTCATACAAAAAAGTGCAATGCTCAGATTCCTGGCAGATTTTTGCTGCTATGGCACAGTCACTCATTTTTTCAACCATTAACAATGTATCTTTCTGATGGAACCATTTTGTGATATTTAATTGTGATGCCAAATCTGAGGGTAGTGCTGATTCTTCTATGTATAAAGTAAAATTGAAAAAAAATTAATTAGCCTATGACATTTTAATGTTTTCTAACAGGAATATAGACATATCCTTAATAAATATTTCATTATCTACAGTCTTTGAAAAATAATTAAAGTTATTTCCACAGTGCTATGACAAATAATCTTGAACTGTTAAAAATTGAGATATGAAACACTAGTTTCTGTAACCAAATAATGGGGATTTTTAAAATATTTGTCCTCCTCATATACTTTTGTCTTTTCATTATATTTTGACAATAATTGGTACCTATACTAAAGTGTTTCTCAAACTTTTTCATTATTTCCCCCTTAAGCCTTTTTAGAGAGTTTTTTTTAAAATAATTCCTCTACTTTCTCTTGAAAATTTAATTCCATAGATATACTACATATCTGTTTAGGGGGGGAAATATATATATTAGAGGCTCAGTGCACAAAATTCTTGCACTGGTGGAGGGGGCTCCCTCAGTCCAGCCTGCACCCTCTTGCAGTCCAGGAGCCCTCGGGGGATGTCCACCTGCAGGCTGACATCCCTCTTGCAGTCTGGAACCCCTCACTCCTAACTGCTCACCTGCTTGCTCCTAACAGACCACCTGCTCACTTCTTACCACTTGGCTCGCCACTCCTTAGCGCTGCCGCAGAGGCAGAAGAGGGTCCCGCCACCACTGCTGCACTTGCCAGCCATGAGCCCGGCTTCTGGCTGAGTGGTGCTCCTGCTGTGGGAGTGCACTGACCACCAGGGGGCAGCTCCTGCATTGAGTGTCTGCTCCCTGGTGGTCAGTGCACATCATAGTGACCAGTTGTTCTGGTTTTTCTGCCATAACGGTCATTGGGCTTTTATATATATAGATATACTTTAAGCATAATAAATTTTAATGGGCAAAATTTTGAAGAGATACTTACAAATTATATATAGAGAGGCATATAAGCACTTGAAAATATGCTCAATGTCATTATTTTTTAAATGCAAATCAAATCCATAGTGTGGGACCACTAAATATGTATTGAGATGGGAAAATGTGAAATGATCTGAGAATGTGGAGCAACTAGAACTTTATATATTGATGGTTAAACCAAATTTGAAATGTTGTTTGGAAACTTTTTATAAAAGTTAAACATAAACTTTATCATATGACCCAATAATTTCTTACCCAAGAGAAATAAAAACTTACATTTGTACAAATCTTATCTGTGAATATGTATAGCAGCTTTATTTATATCCCTAAAAATGCAAGTGACTCTTAATGGTGAACCAATCTGTGGTCTAACATAGACTGGAATACTACTCCTCAAAAAAGGGAACAAACTTATACATGAAATAATGATGAATCTCAAATGCATCATGTTAAGTAGAAGAAATCGGGCTGAAAAGGTTGCATGTTATATAATTCCCTTCATATGAAATTCTGGAAAAAGCAAATTATAGATAAGAAAAGTGTTGAGTGAGGTCACCATGCATGATTGGAGGAGTTGGACAGTGGGACCATTCAAGATAGAGGAGAAGAAAGCCTATTGTTTATAGGGTGGGAGAAGGTTGCTTGTGAAAGAAGGGGTGAGGACTTTAGTGTAATTACAGAAATATGTTATGTAGATATTGAGATGTACAACTCATAGACTCTTAAGTTGCTTGAAGACAATTATTTAAAAGTTCATAAAATGTATTATATACAATTGATTTTAAAATTGTACTTTTCTTTTTCATGACTTTAGATATTCCATATAACAATATATTACCTGATTCATTGATGCATTTTTTTCCAAGCAGTTTGTTAACAGTGCAATAGAAGTCATCAGTACAGAGACAATCTTTAAATTGTAAACTGGTTTCCACTAAGGATTGGATGCCCAGGTTACAGCTCAATGAATTCTTCATCCTGCAGGGGTCACCTGGATTTCACAAACATATAGCACTCCAGATATTATTTTGAATATAATTTTATCCAAAGTGCTTTTAACATTAATCTGAATAATTTATTATTATTGTTATTATTATTTTATACTAGGAGCCCAGTGCACGATTCGAAATTGCACAGAGCCGCCCACCCTCTGGTCCAGCCCTGCCTCCCTCTCCAGCCCTTGAAGCAGCTGGGGCCGCTGCTAATCAGGCCCTCCCCCAGAGCAGGTGAGCAGAGGCCCCTGCTGCCCCACCCCCGATGCTGCCCGTGCAACCTCCTCCTACCCAGTCGACCCATTACAGCATCCTGGTTAATTAGCATATTCTCTATTATATATGTAGATAGTTCTCACCCATGGATATGTTTTATTGATTTTAGAGAGGAAGAGAAAGAGAGAGAGACATTGACAAGTTGCTTTCCATATATACCTTGACCGGGGATCAAACCCATAACCCAGATATGTGCTCTAACCAGGAATCCAACCTGAAATCCTTTGGTGCGTGGAACAATGCTCCAACAAACTGAGCCACCTGTCCAGGGCTGAATAATTCATTATTATATTAAGATTTTCTGAGTTTGCTACATAATGTTCATAAGTTACTTTTTAAGCAAAAAATATATATATTACTGTTTTTGTAAATTAAAATTTTCCACATTTTTAAATAGCTTAAAATTTTCCACATTTTTAAATAGCTTTTCTCCACTTAGAATGCCAATTTTTGCTCCAATAATAATCACAACTGCCCTTGTATGAGGTGACCAGAATGCTCTTTTGTCAGTTTAGCTATTTCAGGAGTTAATTAGTATTAATCTGCAATTTTATTTTACATCATTCTAAGATTATAACAAGAAATGTGTAGGTGGCTCTAAAGTTATCATGGGAAATGAAGTGGTCCTGACACTTAGAAAGCACTCAATAAATATCATTAAATAATGAGTCCTTCATAATGACCAATAATTCATTTTCTGCTTTAATTTAAAAAGCCATATTCATATACCCAACCATTTTCTCTTTTTTTCATCTTTCTGAATTAACATCTTGATATCATTTCATTTGTGGATTTGAGAATATTTCTATTTCAGCTTCATGCATGGGATAATTATGCAAACATTGCAATTTGCTGCTATTTGTACACTGAAATACGTACCACACTGAATGTGATATTTTAAATTGCCATATAAAATGTAACAAGGAGCTTCATCATCAAAACAAATAACAGATGGTTTTTTGTCATCATCCTCTATTCTCACTTAAAAATATTGTGTCACTTTGAGCAAATTATGCCTTTGAAAATCTTTTCCTAAATAGTAATAAGAATGTTTGGATTAGAGAGCTATATCTTTCTTTGGAGTATGAATAGCCCATGACCTCCCTTCAAGTGCAAGGAAGAGAAGGAAATCTCTCTCCCTTCTGCTGCATGCCATGTAATTCCTGCAGCTCTGCTGGTGGGGATGGAACACTTTGACTTTGTCAGAGCTACAGGTCGCTGCCTCTTAACCCAACACACTCCACCTGACATCTTTTGGGAGGTAGAAGAAGTAGATGCCAATAGGCAGGAGTTATGAGCTTTACAGAATTTACTCTTTCTGAAATAGATGGAGAAATAAAGTGAGTCAGGGAGGATATATTTTTATTTTCCCTTTCAGATTTCTTTTATTGAATATTCCAGAAAGCTGAACAGGTTTTATTGTATTACATATTCGCTATACAGGATGATACAATTATCATTATGTTAGAATATGATATTTTGAAAAGTTTTGTCATAATACTATTAGGGCAATGTCCTACTATATAACCAGATTATCTAAAAATTGAGTCTTCCTATAATGCTCTCACTCAATATTTATTCAGTACTTGATATATTTAAAACGTGGTTTTTTGTTTTTGTTTTAAATAAGTAACAGTGATCCTCTAATCTTTACATGCTCTACCCTTTGGGCCTGTCCTCAGATATTTGGAATGTAGAACAAGTTATAAATAATACATTTTAGCACGCTCTTGATACAGTTGGAATGCAAAATAGTGTATATGTTGTGAGACTATAGAATGCATGTTATACACTTACAAATAAATAATAATGCCTTTGATTATTACCAATATTATTATTTCCCTATTTTGTCATTGATATATTAACATATAAAGCAGAAGAAATTTGATTTGAAAATTAGTTGTTACGCTTCTGAGAAGCATTCATATAATTGTGACATTATACATAATGAGATAAGTAAAAAAAAAAAAGATAGGCTGAAATACTGCATAATGCTGCCCATGGTGTCAATACATTTAGAACCCTTGAGTAATTTAAGAATATAATTTTATAGTTATAATTCACTAATAAGCAATTGCAGGTGAATCACTTGAATACCACATTTGAGTAAAGTATTTAGAGCAAGACTAACTTAGTTCATCAGATAGTGAAAGAAAATATCAAATCCCAGTCTTATGTCAGTACAAGAAAATCATTTGAATGTATTTCAAACAATTTGTTTTACCTGAAACACTGCAGGCATCTTCCATTATTCTCCAGGCATGTTTGCATCCATTCACATCACTTAGGCATTGGTCTCTCAAATATGTGCAGTCAGTGGTTTGGGAAGTGGATTCATTTTCTGAGCACAGCCCCATGGCTTGAATAACAACAATCACAGGACAAAACAAAACAAGTTTGAGATATTACAGTATGACAGTAATTTACCTCAAATCTACGTCATTAATGATAAAGAGCATAATTGTGGAAATGTGATGAGATCATTCAAGATTGGAATGGATCTTTACCTCCCCTCTAGCTTTAGGTCTATATTTCTCCTACATAAGATTCTTCAATGAATAATCTGCATTTGCTCTCTCTCTCTTTCTTACTGCCTATTTATTTCTCAACTTATAATTTATTGTTATGACTATTACTCTATTGACACTGGTATTTAACATGTCCTAATCATTTTTATAACATCAAATTTTAATAGTTTTAAGACTTTACCTTGCCTACTTTTATCATTGGGCATTTTGTTGTCATTTTGTTCTTCAAACTCTCCCTTCCTTCTCTTCTAGTTCTCTTGATACTTACTCATTTGATATTTTCGGATCACTCAGAATTCTTCCCAGGATCCTCTTACTCTTCTGTTAACATATAGTTTTAGTTTATGTTCTTTCCTCACAGGTTTTCCATTCTCATTTTATACATTCTCTGTGGATAACTCCATGTACTCTCATCATTTTAACTAACATCTCCAGACGGGATTCTCAAATGTACAATTAAATCCCATCATTTTCTAGAATTCCAGTTATAGATGCTGTTAATCCGACCTAATGTTCCAAACACATCTCCAGACTATAGTATCTTTAATATTGACCTCATAGTTACATTTCCTGATGGACTACCCTACTTCATCAGCAATTCCACCATTCACATAGGCACCCAACTAGAAACCTTGAATTTGTCATAGATTCCTTTTCTATCCTGATCTTCACTCTCCCATATCCATTCATGTATAATTCATTGACTATCATTTAGGATATTTCACCAGTTCATTAGTTAATCAGTCTGACTCCAGTTTCATCTATTCAGATAGATTTTTTAAATATTTATTTATTTTTTTAAATTTTATTTTATTGTTTACAGTATTACAAATAGTAGTACATATGTCTCCTTTTTCCCCCCATTGATTCTTTACATGCCCTAAATTGCCTAATGCAATATTCTAGTGCTGTCATTTCTCTGCTTTATCCTTTGAATGGTCCCTCATAGCATGACTTATATTCTTCATCTTTATGGTTTCCCAAATGTTCCATAACGTCTTATACCTCTGAGCATTTGCTGTAAAGTCACTAGTAGGCACTCGTTTTCTTTTTCTTCTGAAATAATTTTTTTTTGTCCTTTAAGGCTCAACGTGATAATTGCCTATTTTATAGAAATTGTCCCTTAATTCAATACCCCCTTTTCCTACATCCAAATTGAATTTAATACCCTTCATTTGTTTCACTACAATTTTGGGAATTCCTCATCTAAAGCATTTATTACTCTGTAATAAAAGTGTGTATTTTTGTGCTTGTCTTCACAATTGGATTTTAGGGCTTTACTGGCATTAGAGGTGATTCATAATTGTATCCTCCTCATCAAACACAATGATGCATTATAGATATCTAATAAATGAGTGTTAACTTACATCAACCTGAATAGTTGTTTATAGATGAGTTACATATAAAAAACTTATAATATTCTATAACAATAATACTTTCCAGATATTTAAAAGTTATTTTGAATAGAAGAGTAAAGGTTCCAGCAAGTTTTCTAAAAACATCAAGAAAGGAGCAATGTTAATTTAGCATATTGTACAAATTACTCAAATTGATTCTGTAAGCATGCAAACTGAAACTTGCTTAATCAATCCATAGAAAAATATGAAAATTGCAGATGAATTACAGAGATAGAATATTAACTAGAATCAAGAGACATTTAGCTATATCTTAACCAGAGCCAAATCACTTGAATTTTTAAAAGGGTGATGTTAATTATTAATCATCTGTGACAATATAAAATTATAGGCTTAACATATTTATCTTACATCTTTTCCAATCTCTTCTCATAAGGAGAATCCAAGACAACTGATGAGATCGTATGTGCTGCTTTCTGGGCCACCACGTTTGAAGGTTAGGGCCATGGCTGTAATTTGGTCACATTTTTTTTAATTGATGACTGGAGAAAAAATTAACGTAACCGTTTTCAGTTTCGTTTGTTTGTTTGTTGTTTATGTGCTCATGGATAACCTCATTTAGCCAAGCCCCAGCCCTAGGTTTGCAAACTGAGAGAAAGATAAAGTGAGCTCCTTGGATTCTGGCCCAAGGTTACTTGTTTAAATCCAGTTTGCCGAACAGCCTGAAGTAGGGATTTTATGTCAGAAATTCTATTTACAAAACAATGGAATTTTATTTTCCATTGGTCATTATATCTTATAATTATCTCCCTCCACCAACTTATAATAGGTGATGGCCTCCTGGATATATCATTGAAACCTCACCAGTATCTCAATGCAATAATCATTAATGAATTCTATTTATGGTCTTTCCATAAACCCTTTCATTTTCTTTCATATTTAAATGTTTAGGTTGAACAATTCACTGATTGGTTATTTTACATGCTTTTTAATCAACTAGAAAAGCCATCTCAATGATTTGGCCCACACAACACCAAATATCTTCAACTTTCCAAAATCTTATTCATTTCTAACTGGGATTTGTTTGTGACTGTGTATTTAACCCAGTTTTCAAGGGTTCTCTTGAAGTGCTCAGTGAAAAACAAGGTATATTCAACCTAAACAAGGTATATTTTAAAATTAATATGATGAAGAATGTTGAAGATTATATTTACCCTTTAAAGATGTAAAAGGCTCATGAGGATATTAAATACTCTTTTAATAATTCACTATGTCCCACATGTCTTTGGACTTTCCCACATCACAAGACCTATTTAGATAATGTTAAACAAGCATTTTGAAGAATGAACTGTGGTAAATACTGGTTAAAACTATTGCCCTGGCCGGTTTGGCTTAATGGATAGAGCATTGGCCTGCAGACTCAAGGGTCCCAGGTTCGATTCCAGTCAAGGGCACATGCCCAGGTTGCAGGTTCTGTCCCCAAGTAGGGGGTGTGCAGGAGGCAGCCGATCAATGATTCTCTCTCATCATTGATGTTTCTATCTCTCTCTTCCTTTCCCTTCCTCTCTGAAAATCAATAAAAGTATATTTAAAAACAAACAAACAAACAAAAACTATCAAATAGTACTATTTTAACCCTGTGAGTATTAGAAATTATTTCTCTCCTTCATGCAACCTAGTGTCAAGGTTATCTAGGAGTAAAAGTTGAAAATAGGAGACCACCATTGCCTTCTCAACTGGGGCCATAATGAGGTTGTAATATGTTTTGTGTTTTGTTATATGGCTACCTGATCTACAAAAGTTAAACTCTCCTAGATTATCTTTATAATAAAGGATAGAAATAAGAAATTACTATTGTTAGAAATAAATACAAGAAGCAAATTTTTGGAACACTGAATAACTATTACTTAAACCAAAGAAAAACTAAAAACGTTAAAAATGCTTTCCCTTCTTGCCTTAATTTCTTTGACTTGGTTTATTTTAACTATCTTTTTGTGCTTAACATAATTTGAAATAGACTTTTCTGTTTTCTTGCCCACAATTATGTCTTTATTTATCAAAATTTATTAGTGTAGAATAAGCGGAAAATATACTGGCTTTGGTTTAATGAGTGGACTATTACTATTCAGCTATAATCTTAAATATCCCTTTTATTCTAAATTCATTTTATATATTCTACTAAATGATATAAACATAACTTCTTCAATAACACATATGTCAAATAGAGTTCATGAATTCTACTTTAAGTAGAATTCTTTTCTCACCAACATCTTACAATAGATCTACACTAGCCAATATAAGAGCGATATAGCCATACTTTATCTCTCATCCCCAGAAACTGACTGAAAGACTAAGCATTTGCTTCAGTGTTATTTTATACTATAAATGACTCCCACCTTTTAAATATAGACACCTTAAAAGTAGGAGAACTGTATGGTTTAAATTAATTTCATTTTTATTTAATTTTAAAGAAAAATAGATAATAATTTGAAATTTGTCATCTTATAACTTGTAAATAGATACTGGAAGGTTTTATTTCTAAAAGGTTCTAGTATATATGTGAGTTCCATAAGTCCTAATAAATAACTCAAAGTAACTGGATTATCCTATACACTAAAACAGAAGCAACCCGAGTAATTAATGCAATTCTCACATTATGTATCTTCTGTAATTATAAATGAGCAAAAGGAAGTGTAAATTTTTGCAAAAGTCATAAACCATGCTACAATAAAAATTTATAATTTGTACTTTATATTATAAGCCCCTATTAGCTTAATCAATAGTTAAATTACATAGGAAAGCATTTGGTGCCCAAAGAATTGGTGTTGTGAAGTCAGATAAACCAGAGCATAATTCACTTACCCAGGAAAATGAAGACTAGCATGCTGGACGACTTGGGCTGTTCACCTGGAAGAAAGGCAGATGTACCTTCTCCAACCATCTTCTTAACAACAACTGTCCAGAATAAGCCCTCAGCCCCTGCTCTTGCTTCCTAAAAGCATTACAGATTCAGACAAGTCATGTACCTAGGTCACCACTTCCTCACCGATCTTTTCTGAGCTGTGAACTTTCCTTATTACGTCCAAATTCAATTATTTTGTTTTGAGTGTACTGATCTCAGATATTACTCTTCCAAGAAAGCCCACAAGCCAGATACTAAGAAATGATACATACTCTGCACATTCATGGAAAGTGTGTGTTTTTTTCCTACAACTAGAATATGAAATTGTGTAAAAGACTGCCAACTATAACCCAACATTTTCCTAAACACTTGAGCATGCTCAGTTTCCACTTGCTTAATTAGTCTCATTAAGGCAATTTTATGTTATTTGAGAAGATTAAAAGGAAAAAAGGCTTCAAAGCAGCTCAGAAAAAATGCCTGGGGAATTCAAGATCCACTAGTATCAAACTGGTGTACTTCATCCTCCCAAATAGGAAATGCTCTCTCCATGTGCCACAACCCCCGTATGCTTAAAGGTTCAGTGTGCTTCAGCTACAGTTCCTCAAAGCCTCCAATGCAGTGACAGAGTAAGAAACGACTTCTCACCACAGTGCAGAAATCCTCCTTCAATGGAAATGGAAATAGATATGTGCTATTCTATGTGCTATTCCTCCACATGTGCTCATCACTTGACAACTATTTTCCTCCTGGCATCAATGGGAGGCATTGCTATTGTCTAAATAAATACGTGCCCCCCCTAAATTTCATATGTTGAAATCCTAAACCCCAAAGGTGAGGAGGGGTGAGGAGGCAGAGAGGTTGCAGATGCTTGTGAGTGCGAAACCCCCGTGAATTGAATTATTGCCTTAAGAAGGAGGCTCAAGAGAGATCCCTTGTTCCTTCCACCTTGTGGGGACATAGCAAGAAGTGCCAGCTATGAACCAGGAAGAACACCCTCATGAGAATGTGACTACGGAGGTGCCTTGACATTGGACTTCAGTTTCCAGAACCGTGAGAAATAAATTTCCATTGTTTTATAAGCCTCCTAGTTTGTAATATTTTGTTATAGCAAAAATGCAAGGTCTGGACTAGAAAGCATTATTTACCTCATTGTATTTTTAAAAAATTGATTTCAGAGAGGAAGGGAGAGGGAGAGAGAGAGCTAGAAACATCAATAATGAGAGAGAATCATTGATTGGCCGCCTCCTGCAAGCCCCATACTGAGAATCAAGCCCAAAACCTGGCCATGTGCTCTGATTGGGAATCAAACCATGACCTCTTGGTTCATAGGTTGACACTCAATCACTGAGCCATGTCTGTCAGGCTCATTGTACTTTGTGTTCTTCCTCACAGGAACCCAGAACACATCATCTCCCTTGGGGCATCATGGGGCTTCCACTTTTAACCCTCCCCCCACACACACACCCCAAGACCTTTCTGTAATGGATGCTTAGAAATATAAATGTCACTTTGAATTAGAAAAAGATAGGTTTAGATAATCAACTATTGATATAGGAAAGAAGCATTTGTGTGTACACAGTTATAAAATGAGAGAGTTGTTGATTGCAATTGTCCATGTTTATTTTATACTAAGAGAGAAGAAGCTATATTTTGTTTTAAGAATGCATAATGAAAAAACAAGTCTCTGGAGTCAAAAAAAACAAAATAGTAACACTGCTTTTCCTCTATAAATGTAGGAAGTTATATATATTTATTCCTCTGTAATAATGGGCTAATTGTATTCATGGTGCTATAAATATTAAGTATATAGATCAGATTTACTGTATACCACAGAGATCAACAAATGCCAGTTATATTTCACCCACGGATTTAATCATTATTTAATACAATAATTATACTGTCATAAAATTAATCAAATGTTTCCTTTGTAAAGGTACCGAGTCACTAAGCTTGTATTATCATTTTACCAAGATAATTGTTCTTTTATATAGAAGCCAACTAAAAATGCCTTAAGCTAGAGAGGGCTTTGGTGGCTCCCATACATGGGGGCAAGGAGAGACCCAAAAGAAGCAGGCCACTCCAGACTGGTAGGTGACAGGGTTACTATGCAAGGAAACTGACCTGTGATGTGGGTTGTCTTAGGTGATGGAAAGATTAGTAGATCTCTGCACCCATCTGCCAGATTCTTCAAAGTTTATATAGAAGCCTTACTGGGTTCAGTCACATATTCAGCCCACATGGGCTCAACAATACATTATTCTTTCATGGTTGTGTCCTTAAAACAGCTTCCACTGTGGGAACTGTGAACAGAATGAACACTCCAAGGACAGGGAAGGGGGTGAGGAGCCTCCAATTGCTGAGTCCAGCTTGAGGGTCAACAGGCAGTCACGTCCTCTTCTTGACCTCCTCCAACAGGCTCCATAGCTGAAGAGTCCAGGTGTAGAATGGACTTCAGGCATGTTTTAAACCTTGTCTTTTGGGCCTGAGGGTTTTCCCCCTCCTGTCTCTGAGCACTTTCTTCTGTGTCAGCTTCATTCTCAGGCAGTTTCTTTTCTTCCTTTGGAAGGTAGTTGTCAAGCACTGGGTATGCACCTTTCTCTCTTGGAAGCCAGAGTAAGAAACGTGACTCTTTTCCTATTAAAATTCCAGAATGTGCCCCATGCCCATCCATTGAAACTGACCCCAGTTGGTGCCCAGCATCACAGACTTAGGTAGAGTTTGACCCTGCTCAATCCACAGGTGCCCATGGTGGGAGAACAGTGCATCACCAAGGAAAATTATTGTATTCAAAGAAGCATGTCAACGGATCCTGGGAGGAGAAAAAAACATATTCAGTAAAGCATCTAAAAAAGGGTGAATTCATGTAGGGCTACCACAAGCAAAATAAGCTGATGAACAAAAGAAAAGAATATTAAAACACAGTTTCCTGTTCAAGGAGGTGATATAGTTATGACTTTCTTGAGTACAGTGATACGCAGAACCTGAACTTATGACACTGGGTGAAAGAGGCTAATCATTTCAAATAGGTACAGCTGCTGAGGTCTATCACTGACAGATGTAGAAAGTATCTGTGCTCTTATAGCTGCTTATCCCAAAACAATAATTATTAGCTGTGTCACCATCTAAATCAGGAAATTTTTAGCATTTCAGTGTGCCATCTGCACCCTTTCTCTCTCTATATTTTTGCTAGTATCCTTTTTATTTTATTCAAATTATCCATATACATATTCCAGAACATGTTTTTCCTTAAATTTCATTTTTGTTTTAACTTTTAATTTTTTTCTTTATTGCTGAAAGTGTTACATATGTCCCCTCTTTTACCCCATTGACCTTGTCCAGCCCACTTCCACCTCCCCATCCCAGGCCTTCACCACCATATTGTCTGTATCCATGGGTTATGTATATATGCACATAAGTTCATTGGTTGATCTCTCTCCACCCACAAACCCTCCCCTGCTTTCCCACTGAGGTTCAACACTGTTTGTTGCTTCCATGTCTCTGGATCTATTTTTGTTCATCAGTTTATTTTGTTCATTAGATTCCACAAATGAGTGAGATCATGTGATACTATCTTTCTCTAACTGGCCTATTTCTCTTAGCATAATGCTCTCTAAATCCTTTCTCTATATTTTTATGACTATTTTTAACATACAATTTTTAAGAGGATTATGAAAAAGATTAACCATATTAAAATATATTTATCAAATAAATTTCCAGGAAAGAAATATATATGGTACTTTATCACAGGAGTAAATATCAAGATCCAGGTGGGACTAAATAATACTGTAATTTCACTGTAGTGATTGATGACCATAAATGCTAATTTGGGATAATTTCCACAAATTCAGTGTCATAAAAATATCTGTAATTTCTATTGGTGACAATGACAGCACAAGATATACTGAATTTCAATTGGAATTTAGTAAAAATAGAATACAATTTTTCTCCAGGCAAATGTACAGAAACCCCAAATTAATAAACCTTATTCTAATATTAACAAAAAAGCAATTTCAACTCGATTACTTACTCAAATGAAAACCAGCCATTGAAATAGAACATTTTAGAGGTGAGAGGAAATGATAAAATCTTGTGTTCCAATAGTTTACAATGATCATCAGTGTAAGATTTTTAAAATATATCTATGTTTTGAATAGCATGCAACTAATTAATGAATAAAAGAGAAAAACAGAGTTGATTTGGCTGAAATCTATGTGAGAAGCCCAACCTCTGTTCATTGGCTTTGCCATCATCATCCACAGATACCTCTGAGGCATCCACGGTTTCCAGAACTCCTATTCAAAATTCACTGATCTCATTTGATCTAATTTTTTCACATAAAGAATCCATTCTCATAGCAGATAAGTGAAATGCACAAGACCTTATACCTTGTCACTGGGCAAAAGACACTAGGGTTTTTATTCAACAAATGTTTACTAAAAGCCTGCTATACCCAAGCCTCTGTGTAAAAATGAGGAATGGTCCCTTGTTTCACAGATCAGATGAAACTACACATAAGAAAGAAAAAAAATTGTTGAAAAATGAAAGCAATAGCCAATCAGTAAAACACCTATTCCTAGAAGACATTTTCTTTTGGAATGAACACAAGGAAACTACTTTGGTGACAACAACAGCAATTCCTCTCCAACTATCCCTGCATTGATACTATATTCTGTATCCAACTACTTATGGATAAGACACTCACTCATCTGGAGGAGAGAAATAAAATATAATCAGCCTCAAATTTAGAGTCAAACTAAAATTGACAGCTCTAAGAAGAAAAAATATATATACTAGAGGGCCTGTGCAGCCCAGCCTGCACCCTCTCCAATCTGGGACCCCTCGGGGTATGTCCGGGATCGGGCCTAAACAGGCAGTCAGACATCCCTCTCACAATCCTGGACCACTGGCTCCTAATCGCTCACCTGCCTGCCTGCCTGATTGCCCCTAACTGCCCCCCCCACTGACCTGGTAGCCCCCAACTC